CTCGGGGTCTTGAGAGGAAAGTGGTGTTGCGGAAATAAGCCTTCGCTGTGAGTACTCTCCCGTTGTATGATGACCTGACACTTGCGTGATCTTACTCGCGGACAGTCGTTTGGGAGCTGACGGAAGACTAATGGCTTTCTGGAAGTGAATAATGGAATGCGACGGGGAATTCGTGGCAGTAGTAGCATGTTGATGAGACGTAACAAAGCCATCGTTACTGGACCACGGCCGTTTTTGGCCAGCGACAGATTGCGGAGCAAAGAAGCGTTGTTGCTGTTCATGAGCAGTTTGAAGACTGGTCTTGTGCAAAAGACCCTGCATGCTCTTCATGGTGAGGGTGAGTAGAAAATCGCGAGGAGGACGACCGGGTGGGCATGGTCAGACGCGCAAGCGGTGGCAGCCAGGAGATCTGATGCACGAACTGCATGCATTCAGCAAAGCGATTTTATTGCATCCTGAAGAAGGATTTAAAACATTTTGACAGGAATTAGCAACTGAAAAAGAAATCTGGTTCATGTACTCGAATAGCATGACTACTCAAAGCAGGAAGGGCCGATTGTTGAAGCGCCATCAGTCTTTTTTGAAGCACGTCGCGGTGGCGGTTGGCAAGCGTGTTTAGTGTTCCTAGTTTCTCACGCGTCGTCACGTGCAGCGTGTGACGTGAACGAACGCAGGTCAAAGAGGGCAGGAGCAAAGCTGGCGGAAAGACACTGAGCCACTAAAACGCGGGGCGTTCCTGACACCTGCTGACACCTTATTACTTTGTCTGGTGCAAAGAGGGTGCAGAGTAGGCATGTACTTTGTACCTCCCACCATTCACCCGCCCCCCTCCCACCTCCCTCCAGATGTCGCCCACCTGCGCATCACGACACCCCCCTCCCTTCCGAGCCCGCGGCGTCTGGCGCACGCTGCAATATTGATCCCGATTTACAGGGCTCTTCGAGGGCTGCCCCGCGACCCGCCATTGGTCGGCATGGCAAAACCCTGCGCCATTCCCTTTTGACGTCGAGGCTGCCGGTGATTGGCGAGACCAAGATGCACCACATCCATCCGTGTTCCGCTTGCCGTCGTCTGAGTTTTGTACATGTAGCTCTTCGACCACGCTCACGGCTGGGGCTGCTTTGCCTGTTGGGTTGACCTGGCCTGCTTGCCTGCTTGCCTGCTTGCACGCTTGTGCATGCATATTAAAACTCTTCCCTGCACGCCTATGCCGGGGATGCATGGTCTGGGGACGACTGCAGATGTGCCTGGTGCTCTGTACGTGTGCGCAGCACTCCGTCCATCCTACGGACTGGAGTACTAGTACGTACCTAGGTACATGTGGAGGTACCTTGAGTACCCAGGTAGGTAGTGTGTACGTACATGTACCCCGTATGTATGCACATTCTGTATCGACACTTAGAAGGCTCTAGATGTCCTTGTCGGAGCCTGTCGACACTACTGGCATGTGTTAAGTACATACCTCACGTTGGCCCCAACCACACACCACACTCTACATACAGTTGTTTCTGAACCATGTCTGCAAGCGCACTCTCTCCAGACGCCCAAAATAACTCGCTGGCATTTTATGCCTGCTGATCAGTTGTGCCTGTCCCGCTGCACACCACAATGACGGCAGGTAGATGTTGCGAGATTATACAGCATGACCTGCAGTTTGTGATCAGGGACAGACAACCCAACCGAGCACTTTCTGGTGTTCGGGTGCTTGTTGCCTACTTAGGACTCATTGCTGTACAACATGCTGCAACTACCGCATCCCTGAGTATCCGAGGAGGCGACAGCATCGTACCTGTGTATGTATGCATTGCAGGGTTGGCGATGAATGCGCCTAAAACACTGGACAGGGAAACCTTGACGAGACAGCCCTGGCTGGTCGTCGCGCGTTATAATACAATGTAATGGGTTGTGTCCCTGTATTGTTTTCCATGACGCTGCCGAAACATCGTTTCAGTGACTGGCCAGATATCGCGATGCGTAAAGAGAGTCGCCCATCTTGACGACTCCTCTCATTCTGTGGCCTCATCCCGCTGAGAACTTGCCATAGACAAAATCCGACTCAGATTAATATTGTCGCCGAGGTGCAATCGTGGGCAAGGATTCAACAGGCAGACTTTGTGGCGATGGCGGTGGTTGTTGGGCGGCGCCGTGCCTCGAAGCCAAACGTCGAGCCAGTCGTCGAGCCTTGCGCCACGACCCCGGCAGTGCCGTCCGGTTGGACTCGGGTGACCTTGGGGGTGAACCTTGGCTTGGGTACTCGCAGTCAACTCCATATTTTCGATTTTCCACTTCTTTCCATGTATGCACGACCACGCACGTAGTTTTGCTAGGGCATCTTTGTTGGCCTTGCGGACTTGTCTCGATGCCGCGATCCGTTTGCTGGCGAAATCCTTCAGTCGCTTATTCGCCCTCTCTCCCGTCGTTTCAGGGCTGGGGAAGACGAAGAAGAAGAAGAAGAAGCCAAGGAAGCCTACCGGGTCGACTCCTCCTCGCCTCCCGGTCAATCCTGCCGACCCTTGCGCCCTCCCCATCCTGGCTTGACCTGCCAACTGCATGTACAATATCCCGCCAGTTCCAGTTCTGCCGAGTACTTTGACTCAATTTACCGTGTCTCAGCTGCTCGCCAGCGATCTCGCGATGACAACCACAGCACAGAGCTTGGTCCTAACACAAGCCGGCGCCAACAGCCAACCGTGCTTGTCCTATCCAATATTGAAGCTCCCGCGAGCAAACTGTCGAGGCCCTTGGAGCACACAAAGTGCCGGACTGGGCCTGTCCCTCTGGGCCCTGCGGAGAATGCAAGATATCCGTACTGTGACATGACATCAACCGTCTCTTCGTACTAGTAAAGATGCCCAAGCACGGGACTCCAAGCGGACAAAGCCACCCATTGGGCCTTTTCACTTTTTGCTTTTCGTCACGGCTGTCGCCATCCTTCTGGCCAAGAGGGGGCAAACGGCAGACAGCAGACAGCAGACAGCAGAACTCGGCAAAACCATCGTCATTTCTCTAGACTACGCCGTTCTCGGCCGGCTTTGGCATGTAAGACACGGCCAGCTGTTCGGTTCAGATTCTGCCCAGTTGGCGTTGGTCGACTCCATCAAATAGCCCTTGGCATGCCTGTGCTTGCGTTGGACCCCCAAATCTATGAACCAGATCGCGCCGCATCGTGTCGAAAGCGACCTAGTATTTGGTTCCCGGTGGCGACGCCAGGCAGGCGACGCGCGATTGATGGTTCAATGGCCCGTCTTCAAGCTGGCTTTTTGCAGACGCTACCAGAGAGCCCGTTTCTGCCTGCAATAGTTGTGTGCTTTTTTGTGCATGGCCATGTGGCAGTAGAGACAATGAGAGGGCCAGACTAAACTCCCATGGGCAGTCGTGGCTGATTAGAGTTGGCAGACTGTCCGAGGTACCTTGACAACCCGCTTGGTTGCTGCCTGCATGGGCTGAGCCGGGTTTGGCAGGGACTGCCATTTCTGACTGACTCCCCATCGAGGGACGTATTGGCAGAGTTTTGATGTGTTTGATGTTTGATGTTTGATGCTACCAGTTGCACCTTTATTAATGCACATCATTTTGTTGGGGTGGCAGCCCAGGGCCACGGGAGAGGCAGCGGGGGTGTTGAAGCGGATTTTCTCATGCCATATCGACGAGAGAGAGAGAGGGAGGGAGAGAAAGAGAGAGGAAGGCACGGACAAACGAAGCCCGAAACGCCAACGCAGAATCACATTGTGTGGCGAGGCCTGACAGCCACGCCATCCCTCCCATCTCCATTGCTCGGTCCAAAGTCTCCAAGCACTGCTTCTTGACTCTCGTTCGTGACTACAACTTTTGGAAAAAGCTGTGACACGCACATCTGTGTTCGCGTCATCTACTCGGACGCATGGCGCGTTTTCTAGGCCGTGGGACTGCCAGTTGAGATCTCTTGTTCTGCGCAAAGCCATAACGACAACCTGTTCCCTGAGATCTGGCCCTGAATCACTTGCCTTCATCCAGCCTGTACCGACTCGGCAACACTATATCTGACCAACACACCGACACACCTGCGCAGCGTTTATTGCGCTGGGGAAATGGCAAATGTCCAAAGGGCGCCAGTCGATCCTGCCGCCTGCAAAGGGCCTAAGTAGTTCTTGTTATGATAATTGCTTGCCATAATATACTCCGTATTAGTTAGCGACGTCGACGTCAGTGTGCAAGGACCCCCGGCTTTTACGCACGAGGTGACACTCAACGGAGAGCAAATGCAGGGACTAATACCTCGTCGGGACATGTTCGTCCTGAAATTTCCTTTGCAGTGCGTCACCGAGTATGCCTCCCCTGCGATGGCACTTTGGCAAACACCGGAGGACGTTTAATTGACGACGCCAGCAACAACATGGGCAACCAAGGTGGGCGCTGATGAACGCCTCACAAAAACCTGGGTTGAGATCCGTCCACTCATCAATGGTGTGAGACTCGGCGGGCCTGCGTGGAGACCAAGGTCACACTTGATGGCCGGGGGGTGGCATGTATATATAAAGTATACTGTATCGCTTCGCGTGCCCTTGCACCGCGGCTCGGCACTAGCAGATACGTTTGCTGTACCCAGGGCGCTAGTGCCGTCCCACCCATGCTCTGGTTCCCAAGTTTACTATGTACCAGCGTGGACGTATCGAGCCAAACCAGGGCCGCCGCCTCGGGGGCGCCAGGACGTTTCTTTCTCTCTCCCGGCGTCTGGGAACCAGACCTCTCTTCTCTTTCAACCTTGTCTCCCACTCCATACGCCGCAGTTTCGACGTGATTCTGTCTCGTCGAGACTATTCATATTCATCTCTTGTTTTTAGAAACCCCGGCGTTGCATGTGACAAGTTTGCCGACTCCAAGATATCACTTATTCTTTACCTCGCCGCCCCGTCCAACTTCCCACATACATCATCTCTCATCATTCACATAGACCTGGCGAGGGCATGCCTTCACACGAAATTCGCCTCACCTCACAGCCGCGCAAATGATCTGTTGATGCCATGGCGCAACAAAATGTGAGTTTTTCACGTATACTTGGACACCTGTTAAAATATCCGGAAATCTTTTCTCTCTCTTTCTTTTCAATGTATCCTTGGCTTTGTTCTGCGCTGCTCTTACATTGTGGTTGTGCCTCATACCTTGCTCACTTACCCATGTGTCCATCCACTGCTAACCACGCAATTTATTTGAGCAGGACTCCAAAGTCACAAATGCGGACGCGCAGTCAGCGTCCGATCCCGTGAACGCCTCATCAAGCTCTGATCCGTCATCCAAGGATTCGGGTGCTGATATGGCCGCGGGCTACGGCACGCGCTCCCGCAACAGGGGGGGCAATGCCCGCATTAACTATGCTGAAGACAAGGACATTGATATGGATGTCTATGACTACTATGACAAGAAGGACCAAGACGTGCCCAAGAAGTCGTCGCGAAAATCAGACGTCGCCGCAAATGGCGACGGTGCGGCACGTGCAGTCGGTTCGCGACGAGGTGCAGCAGAAGAAGCCAGAGCAGTTGGTGCATCAAATCAAAATGGCTCCAAGAGCTCAACACCGAGTGGTGTTGGCGTTGGCGTTGGCGGCGGTGCATCTCAGGGCGCGCCAACATCTGGCGCGGCGCAGGGTTCACGGAAACGAAAGGCGACTGCAGTCTCAACGAGAAAAGCAGGGCAGATGGGACAGCTAGAGGGCACGCCGATGCCAGAAACCAACATGCTGACGTTTGAGAATTGCAACCACCGCCCGGATGCGAATGGGTGCATGGTGGCTGACGATGGGACAGTGTTGGAACCAAATGGTGAGTGCTTCACGGACAGACACCAACACAGACACAGACACAGATACAAAAAGGCAGACGCAACGCAGACACAACAGAGCCGCGCTCTCGAGTGCGAGTGAGTGTGAGGTGACTTGGGATCCTCTCGACCTTCTCTGCTAGTTTGGTTGGGTTGTTGCGTACCAATCCTGCCAATTGCACCAAGCGGCGCGGCCGGGATCCACTCATTTCGGGAGGACAGGGCCAAGGAGGCAGAACAGGGCAATTTCACCAGCACGCCGGCTAACCAAAGAGTCGCAGATCATGTGTACCTCGTGTGCGAACCGCCCGGGGAACCTTATTACTTGGGACGCATAATGGAATTTCTACATGTGCATGCAAAGGGCGAGTCGAAGCGTGTGGACTCGGTGCGCATTAACTGGTTCTATAGACCAAAGGACATTGGGCGCAAGAACACGGACACGCGGCTGCTCTTTGCGACTATGCATTCCGACATCAGCCCTTTGACGGCCCTGCGCGGAAAATGTCAGATCCGGCATCGCGTGGACATCGACAACCTGGAAACGTACCGCAGAACACCCGACTGCTTCTGGTACGAAAAGCTGTATGACCGATACATACAGAAGAACTACGACCTTATCCCCACCTCGACTATTGTCAACGTGCCCGACAAGGTCAAGAAGGTCCTAGATGAGCGCTGGAAGTTTGTCTTGGTGGAGCAAGGGCGTGGCAAGGAGCTGACTAGCGCCGTGAAGCTCTGCAAGAGATGCAGCGGCTACTGCGCAAGGTACGTACCCGTCGACGTCTCATAATATCGTGTATTCTCGAGCCTTGCAACCATAGCGAGAGAGCGAGAGAGAGCCCTCCCCGTTACAACTCGCCGAGTCTGGAGTTGGACATGGATGCTCCACGTCTTTTGGCCACTCGTTTGACCGTCGTCTATGCAATTGCAGCTGCCTTATCCCCTGCGTCGTTCTTTCCTCTCCTTCCATCCTTTTGTGTCCAGATACGTCTGGACCTGACTGGCTCAAACCCCCCACCCACACCCACTTTGAGAACCTTGCATCAATGCTTCCTTCCTAGGCTTGGCTGTCTCCCAACTTTCACACCTATCCGTGCTATGCTCCAGACAAAACAACCACCCACCCGATTCATGACGCCACTGGCAACGACATGTGCCGCCTTGCTTTCCGAGCTGGTATACTCGTCCACGGCCATGGGCCCAAACATATACCATCTACCGCCCCTGCGCGTTTGTATTTTTGTGCAAGTTGCCAAAATACCAATTCAAATATGAAGCGTCCGGGATCGGATTTTATTTTATTTGCTTTCCTTTCTTTCTTCCTCGCTGAAGCCTCTGTCTGTTTGCTTTCCACTAACTCTGCTTCATCTCCAGTAATGACTCGGTGGATTGTGCAGTGTGTCAGAACACGTACCACATGAACTGTGTTAAACCACCCCTGCTGAAAAAGCCATCCCGAGGCTTCGCATGGTCGTGCGCAGCGTGCAGCCGAGCCCAGGAGCGCAAGCTCGAGGCTCGCAACACCCCTAATGGCACTGACGCTAATGGCGATATTGACGATGATGATGCTCTGGACGACGACGACGACGACATGCCCGGTATCATCACCGACCGCACCACGCCGGCGGACAACGAGGAGCATCATCATGCCACAGCGGAGCAGATTTATCAAGCAAGCCTTTGGCCATGGCGCTACCTAGGCATGCACTGTAAACCGGAGGATGCCCTTGATTACGATGATCGAATCCACCCTCGCGCAAGCACAAGAATCGGACCCCGACACCAAGCTAATGTGGGTGTTTGGCCTGGGCGCCCGGTTGAATATGTCAAGCCGCTGGAGACGAGAAAGGGTAGGGGAGCCCCCAAATTATCCAAAGAAGCTCAAATTGCTCAGGAGGCCGAGAAGGCGCTTCGGACCAAGCGACCCAAGTGGGTGCAGGATGAACCACCTGGCTATCAGGTTCGCGGAGAAGATTTGGACGAGAACGATCCAGCCGCCACGTCTACGCGACTTTGGATGCCGCCACCCTCCGACACCGTCAGTGATGATGATATTGTCGGCTATATGACCAAGGCTCAAGGCATGGCGAAGAGATTAAACATCCCAGAACGATCCACAAATCTTCAAGACGTTGCGCTGGAGACATTATTCCGCCACGATTATGATCCCGCTGCTGCTCTAAAGACACTTCCAGACATAAAACGGGACTCATTCAAGGAGCCGACCCTGACACCGGCCGAGAATAGGAAGTTTGAGGAGGGAGTAGCCAAGTATGGGTCAGAGTTGCACCTGGTGATGAAACATGTGAAAACAATGACACCCGGTGCGGTAGTACGGTGGTACTATACCTGGAAAAAGACCGAGCGGGGCAGACAGATTTGGGGGTCTTACTCTGGCCGTAAAGGCAAGAAACTGGCCAAGAAGGAAGAAACTGCTGCGTCAAAGGCGGCTGACGATGTGGCTGACGCTGATGACGATTCGGCTTTCGACACTGAAAAGGCTCTTGTTCAGAAGCGCAGCTTTATCTGCCTGTTTTGTGAGTCACAAGACTGCCGACAATGGCGTCGAGCACCCGCTAGTCAAGGTCCCCTTAGCGAAAACGGAGGCAGGGCAACCAGCAAGGACAAAGGCAACCAGTCTGTGGTGGCTCTTTGCCGACGTTGTGCTGAGCTGTGGCGTCGATATGCTGTTCGATACGAGCCACCGGAGGACTTGATTAAGAAAGCTGGCCAATCTGGAGCCAAGATTTGGAAGAAGAAGCAGGAGGAGGAGCTTCTCAAAGAGATTCAGATTGCGGAAGATATGGGCTTAATGAGTCCGTATCGTAGCTCCACGCCAGCTGCTTCGGTCAACGGGTTGGAGCCGCCTAGAAAAAAATTAAAGGGGGCACCAGAGAGAGATACCGATGCTGTAGTCTCGGATGCTGGAAGCAATACCACAATCTCACGAAAGAAGGACAAAACCGCGGAAACTACACCTGTCCCCGACTTGCCAAAGCCACGAACTCTTCCCTGCGCCATTTGCGACCAGATGGAGCCTCTGGGCGACCAACATCTCTCCTGCAGAGAGTGTCGCTTGACAGTGCATCGTCACTGCTACGGTGTCATGGACAGTCGGATTCAAGGCAAGTGGATTTGCGACATGTGCTCGAATGACAAAAGCCCACAAGTATCAATTGTAAGTGCCGGATTCTCCTCATCTGCTTACAGGTTGATCGGGACTGTGACTAATAGTAATGTCTAGCAATACAAATGCGTCTTGTGTCCAGTTGAATACACCGAACAAGACTTCATTGAGCAGCCCAAGCTCACACACCATAAGAAGAAGATGTCCGACAAGGATCGCGAGCGTGAGAGACTGGAGGTCCAGCAGGCGCGGAAGGCTGCCGAGTTTTATCGCAAGAGACAGGAAGACCTCAACCGGCCTGTCAACCCTCGAGAGCCACTCAAGCGCACGGCCGATAACAACTGGGTTCATGTTACCTGTGCAGTATGGACGCCTGAGGTAAAGTTCGGTAATGCCAAGGCGTTGGAACCGTCGGAGGGTATCCCGTCAATCCCCCGTGCTAGATATGATGAGGTCTGCCAGGTCTGCAACCAGCAAGGAGGTGCCTGTGTCTCTTGCCACCAATGCCGGATACCTTGTGAGTAGCGGGCAATAACGTATGCGAAAGATGAGAAAAGGCTAACGGGAATTGCAGACCACGTGGAGTGTGCTCGCCAGGCAGGCCACCTTCTTGCATTCGATATCACACCTGTGAAGAGTAGCCGTCGCGACCAGTTCAACATTGTGACGGTAAAGGGAGAGATTGGAACCATGTCGGCCGTACTCTGGTGCCAAGACCATATTCCCACCAAGACGATAGCTCACAAGATGTATGATGTCGTCAACGAGTCAGGGCTAAGCGCACTACAACTTTACGTTCAAAATTACAAGCAGGCAGACCTGGCACTGACGGGCACTGTGCGCAAGGCTAATCTTATGATGGCTGCTGCCAAAATGTCTGGCCTTCCGGTTGTGCCGAGTGCTCGACGGACATCGGCTAGTGCAACAACAGCAGCAGCAGCTCCGAATGGCGCGTCGAGTCATTCGCGCAACAGAGAACCGATAGACGCAGCAACGAATGCTCAACAGCCCGGAGAGAAGGTGTGCATTACCTGCGGCATTGATGTTACACCTAGATGGTGGCCGATTGAGAAAACACAGGAACGACAACTCACAAATGGACATCATGGTGCGATTGGATTTGAGGCACAGAAGTTTGTCGAGCAACGCAAGTTTCAATGCCACAAGTGCAAGAAGAACCCCCGAACGCCAAAGTCATTTGCTGCTGCACGTCCATCGCCTCCACTAGTTGCAGAGCCTCCCCGACAGCATTTGGGCGGATCACAGAGCCAAACACCCGCTCCACCATCGCTGCGAAGCCCTTCACGAGTACTCTCTGCGGATTATCGAGCAGCTCCTTTGCGTCCAGAAATCCATTCACTGCTGCATCACCCATCATCCCATGGTCCGTCAGCACCTGGCCCGTCAGCAGCTCATGGACCACCACCCGCAGGGCATCCTGCCACACACTCGCAGGCGCATTCGCTCGGCTCTCGACCTGGGCCAGTATCTCATGGCTATCCCCAAGTACCGCTCCCAAGGACAACGTACAACGATTGGGGGAGCCAACACGGCTCGCCGACTCGGCACATTAATGGAGGACCGCCACCACCACCACTGCACAATACTGGACCGCCTCCAGCATCGGGCCTTACAGCGTTGCGGCCACCATCTATGTCGGGGCCGCCCCCGGTGGCCGCAGTCTCTGTTCCACACCAGCGTCCACATGGCTCCCCGATATATGGGAGCGCATTGCCGCCCTCACCGCGACGACTAAACGGAACGACCGCATCGTCTGCCTATGTGCCCTCATATGTGAGCGCTCCTGCCCCGGCGCATGCATCGGGACCACGGCATAGTGCTTCTCCAGGCTTAAGTAACGGCGTATTACCTCCTCGATCAGAAGGATTCTCACATGGACTACACCCACAACGGCCGTCCTATACTGGCGGTACACATGGGAGTCCTCCACTGGCTCGAAGTGGTCTGCCTCCGCCAGGTGGACCACCGCCCGCTGGCCATGAATCGGCGCACTCGGCTGGCGGGCTTGGACATCGACCCCCGGAAAATAGACCGGCTAGCGGGGCAAGCGCAAGCCCATCGCTACGGAATTTGCTTTCGTGAGGCTGTTGCGAAGTATTTTAGAACGGAATAAGGAAGCAAGGAGACATGGCCGTGTGGTTATATATTGTCTTTTTCGCAATGTCTGTGTTAGTGTTTTGTAGAGCAAAGCGACAGGGGAAAACAAAACGGGAATCTGGAATACCCAGAAGGCGTTATTTTACTTGGCTTTTTTTTATTCGGGTTTTCTTTTCGTTTGTTATGGGGATTGGGAATCACGAGCTCTCAACGGAGTTCGTCGTTGTATCTGATTCGACTTGGGAGTCACAGTGGAGTGCTTTTGGATTCAAGTTGGATGAGTAGAAGTAGAGACGAGGGAAGGATGCTACTACTTGTATATTATATTATCAAACGAGGTTGGAGTCCGTGGATCTTGGCCCCTCAGTACTGTTACGTACTTGCGGATATAGACTCGTCTGCTCACCGGGCAAGAGAAGGGGAGTCGCGGAATTAAGTAACGGAGATACAGTCTGTGATCTCAATGTGCCTATGATTACAAGCATGCATGTGAGGAATGATACGGACAGAGGCTGGCGAGGAGGTGTTCACTTCCACCCGTCCAGGGTTAGGGTCACGCCAAGCCCACCAGTCAACCCAGGCCCTCCCATGGCCCAATGAAGTTTGATGTCGGGTCCTTGTCAGCTCTGGTCTTCACCGACAAGGTACAACGTCAGTCCAACAGCTTGCATCCTCCGTCTGAGGGTGAGCTGTCGCAACACGAAACACACGAAACACGACACAAACTCTGCTCCTTGGAAGTCACCTGGGGCATGGAATTGTCGACGCTGTAATCATTGTCTTCTGCTTTGTATCTCTCGCCTCGGCGGCCTCGGTTTGCCTTGCCATCTTATCTCGAGCTAGGCGAAAAGCTCTCCCGCTCGACACAGCCACCGTTGCTGCAATCCCATCGCCTCCCGACGGGAACGACGGACGGCCAAGTCAGTTGTAGTACATTCACAGCTTCTGGAGGGGCGAAGACTACCGACTCTTGCCATGGCGCAATTCGTTCTAGATTTGTTCTATTCCCTAGGGAACTGTCTGAATTGTTTCCCCGGGTCGCCTACACTCAAGATCAACAGCCGGAGCTTCAAGATCCTCCGTCTTCTTGGCGAGGTACCATCCCCAATCTACAACTCACGATACCATTTTATGAAGAATAAAAAAACGACAGAAAAATTTCCTAATGCTGATTTACTCCACAGGGCGGCTTCTCGTACGTGTACCTCGTTGAAGATACAGCCACGCACGAGCTCTTCGCGCTCAAGAAGATCCGATGTCCGTTTGGCGCCGAGTCTGTGCATCAGGCGATGCGCGAGGTCGACGCCTACCGACTCTTCGCACACATCCCTACCATCATATCGGCCGTCGACCACGCCGTGGCTACGGAACGGGGCGCCGACGAGGCCACCAAGACGGTCTACGTGCTGCTGCCGTACTACCGTCGCGGCAACCTCCAGGACATGATCAACGCGAACCTCGTCAACAGGGGCAGCTTCCCCGAGCGCCATCTCATGACCCTCTTCCTGGGCGTGTGCAAGGCCCTCCGCTCCATGCACGAGTACCAGGCCCCTCCGGCGGAGCGCATGGAGATGGGCAACGAGGAGGACGCCCCCGGCGCAAACAGCCGCCGCGGCACCGGCAGCAAAATGGGCACGCGGGGCAAACGCACCGAGGCGGACGAGGAGGAGGACCAGGAGCGGCCGCTCATGGAGTCGGAGAACCGCGTCTCGGCGGGCGGCAAGGTGCGGTCCTACGCCCACCGCGACATCAAGCCCGGCAACATCATGATTGACGACTCGGGCTCGACCCCGATCCTCATGGACCTCGGGTCCGTGGCCCCGTCCCCCATCCCCGTCACGTCGCAGTCGGTCGCGCTCCAGATCCAGGACACGGCCGCCGAGCATTCCACCATGCCCTACCGCGCGCCGGAGCTCTTCGACGTGCACACGGGGTCCGTCATCGACACCAAGACGGACATATGGTCGCTGGGCTGCACCCTCTACGCCTGCCTGGTCGGCAAGTCCCCCTTCGAGATGCGCTCCGACGAGACCGGCGGCACCCTGAGCCTCTGCGTCCTAGGCGGAGACTGGCGCTTCCCCGACGAAACCCCCGGCGGCGCCAAGCGCATCAACAGCATCAGCCAGGCCAAAGCCCGCGCCGCCTCGGGCGACCACTCCGCCGCGAGCGCCTCGGAGAACACGAATCCCACCATCAGCGAGCCGGTTCGGAACATTGTCAGGCAGTGCTTGAAGGTGGAACCCGCTGAGAGGCCCGACATAGGTGAGTTGATCACCATGGTGGAGGGCGTCATTGAAGATCTTCCCGATGAGGGGGGCTTGTAATTCACCCTCATGATGGACCAGATGCTGGGACTGCTGGGGCAACATTGTTTATTCGCACTGCTGTGACAGCCGGCAATGCCATTGGAGATGATGTCAGATGGACTTTTGTGGGTTTCCGCATCACATTGATGGTATTATATTTGGGCATAGGCGTTACGGATTAATGAATGTACATAATTAGCAGAGCTGGAGTCATAGACTCCCTGAACAAATGACGTTTCTGTATGTAGCACGACCAGAGAAAATCTACACCAATTGCATTGCATGCACAGGAACGGGCAAGTTTTGTAGGGGCAAGTAAGACTGAATTCATTTGCATCAACGTCCCGCAATCAATATTCCTATAGTCATCATCACTTTCATCTCTATATTTGTTTCATACGTCCAATGTAACCAACCCCCCCTTACCGCATACCTAGCACAACTTTGATGCTGGCATCGGGACATATGCACTCAAGCTCATTAGTGTTCTAAAGCTGAAGCTTGAACGTTGCCACCTCAAACGGTCTCAGCTTGATATCAAATTTGCCATCACTAAGTTCTACCTCTTCCAACTCCTCCTCGAGAATGTTTGCTTTGTTCACTCGCTTGACATTGTACGACGTCTCGATGGTGCCTCTGCTATGGCCGCCTAGAGATTCGTACACACGCAAGATGATGCTTTGTCCCTTGTTCACACGCAAGCCCTCCCGAAGGCTCACATCCTCATCGTCATGACCTCGCTTGATGGTGTCGAGAATCAACGACGAAGACTCATCCCTGTTAATCAGTTTGATTGGTGCCTCCGACATGGACTGAATAGCTGTTTCGGGGGCGGACATCAACTTCAGCGGGTTATTGAAAGCGTAAGCCGCCTTGACAGTAACAGAAGACAAGGCGCCATTATGAGGGAAAATAGCCCAACGGATGCTGTGCTGCCCCATATCAGCGTGCTCGTCAGGGGCCTTTGGCGCACGAAGAAGCGACAGACGCATGGTCTTGCCTGCAGTAGCAAAACCGTACTTGCTGTCGTTGAGAATAGAAACACCATAGTTGTGCTCGGACAGATCAGCAAACTTGTGGCAGCATACTTCAAACTTGGCCATGTCCCAGCTGGTGTTGTAGTGTGTAGGTCGCTTGGTGATGCTGAATGCAGTCTCGTACGAAGCCTCGGTATTAACTACATTAACAGGAAACTCAACCTTTAAAAACTTGCAGTCTTCATGCCAATCGACTTCGGCTGAGCAATCAACTTGAGACTGCTGTCCCTTCAAAGCCACCCCAAGAGAGATGTAGGATTTCATGGAGCTCTGGTCGCTAATTTTGATGTCGGTAACCAGAGTAACACGGTGCGGTTTGTTCTCGTGGATCTTCGTCTTGCCATAGTGAAGCTCTCTGCGGGTATTGAGATGATAAATTTCAACATCCCAGGCTTGCCAGTATAAAGGAATGTCGTCAAAGATAACAAACTTGTTGGCTTGACAACCTTGCTCGACAACTTCGCGATCATTGACAAGATCATACAAGGAGGTGATACAGCCCTTTTCAACCACTATACGGAGTTGTTCGTTCTGTAACACAAATATCTCTCCGTTCGAGGTCAAAGTGACCGCGGGCTTGTTCTCTTGAATCTTAAAGCGGCGGACGGGGAGCAATTGAGCATCTCCACAAGCAACACCAACTTCAGTCTCAGATAGCTGGACAATTTCCTTACGATGCCACGGCAGCGTGTTGACAACGACGGACTCGTGGAGAGAGTTTGACAAGGTAGAAGATACCCCAAAGGAGTTATATAGATCCGCAAGCAGTTTGTCACCGGTCTTGAACACTTCAGCGTAGAACTGTGCCTTCTGTTAGTATGGAACATGTTGTGCATTACAAGAGGAGTCGGCCGACTGTAACCCTTACCTTGTCGGATTCATCATAACACATTTCAATGGAGCTGCCAGGAAGACAGTCATGAAACTGGCAAAGCAAAACATTCTCCCACATGCTGTCAATCTCCCTCGTTGGATACTTGTAGGACGAGTCTTTGATAGAAGCAATTGTTGCCAGTTGCTCGATATCTCTCAAGAGAACTTCGGCCTTGCGGTTGAACATCTTGTTGTTGGCTTGTGTGGTATATGTTCCCCGATGAAGCTCAAAATAGAGTTCACCATACCACGTAGGAAAATCCTTGGCTTTGGGTGCCAGACGCTCAAAGAAGTCGTCAACGCTCAGACCAAGCTTGAGCTTGGGAATGCCCCCAATGGTGTTGCTGATACCTGCGCATCGACGCAACTTCTCTAGGTGCTGCCATGTTGGGCCACCTCCCCCGTCGCCTTTACCAAACACCAGCAGCGAGGAACTGTCGACCCGCATCGTCTTGTGTCTGCTGATACTGCGACGCAGGTCACCAAAGTCGGCTTCTGCTGTGTATGTTTCGGATGGTGGCATGTGGCACATGACTTGACTGCCGTCTGGGCTCACCCACATAAAGGTGGTATGGGGGAAGGTATTAATATTGTTCCAGCTCAGTTTCTGGGTCAGGAAACGGTCCATGCCAGCCAGGCGACAGAGCTGGGGTATTTGGCTGGAATATCCAAAAGTGTCTGGCAGCCAGAAAGTGCGGGAGCGAGAGCCAAACTCAGCCTCGAAGAATCGCTGACCATATAAAAATTGTCGAACAAGGGACTCTCCACT